ATATTTAAAAATTTTTATCACATTTCAGTCGACATCGCGTTTAACGTTGAATTATTATTTAAAGGTGAATCTAGCGGCTGTGGAATCACGGATGACGTGGTGATATGGATGGATAGAATTCAAAATTCCGGCGAACCGGACATTTCCGTCCCGGAAGCCGCAAATGGCAAGAAACTGAAACTGCAAGCGAAACCGTGGAGTAACGATCAGGAATCCCCTGGTCACAAATACTCTCGAGAAGCTAACGAACCTACTCATCGTAGAGTACGTAGGGCAACTAGACCAAAAGAGGATAATAAAAATACTTGTTCCCTTTTTATCCAAACCGATCCACTTATATGGAGACATATATCTGAACAGGTAAGTTAAAAAGATAGAACATAACAAAAATAAAAGGAGATCTTGTGAGTTTAATAAATAATTTCTTTCAAGTTCAATCTAACACCTACTGCCCTAATGTTTTTCTTTTTTTTTTTCATATATCGAAAAACCGTAATAATTTCCTTGCACACAGTCGAATACTCGGAATACCTGATGATTCTTCAGCTGTAGTTAGATTCATACGACGTTTTCGTACGGGGTAGTGCGAGCTGGCGTTATTTATTTACGTATTTTCATTCAAACTAGACGTCCCTGCATTCCGATGTCCTTACCCCCGAAGGAATATTTCCGTCACTGCATTCTCTTTAGTCACGCATTCTTTTCGATGCTCTTGGAAGAATCTGTTAAACGGTGGAGGCCCTTCTTAGTTTTGAAGTTAGTGAATATAGAAATAGCTCGTTTTTTTCGATTTTTGCTTTTGCAGTTACATCACGACGCGGAGAAAACCAGGGAAGAGATACTGTCTTTGATCGCGCATCACGTTACCGCCGTAAATTATATCTATAGGGATACCAGATTCGACGGACGAATCAAGCATAGAAATATTAAATTCGTGGTGCAACGGATAAAGGTAAGAAAAATTTCCACCTGTTTCCTCTGTTGTGTTTGCGCAGTGCGTTTCACATTAAACGCGAATATCCTGTTTGGTAGATCGACGATGACACGGCGTGCACGCCTCAGCAAACCTACGGCGAGCCGAATCCTTTTTGCATGGAGAACATCGACGTTAGCAACTTTTTAAATCTACACTCGCTCGGTAATCACGAAGACTTCTGCCTTGCCTACGTATTTACTTACAGGTAAGAAAAAGCTTTGAAAAACCTTCAACTGTACTTACGTTCGTAAGTATTAGGACAGTTATTGGACGTGAGCTAAAACTGAACAGTCATTGCTAGACACTGAGGATTTTTATGCACTTGTGGAAAATTTCAAGGCACAAAAATTACAGAGGAAGCGTATAATAAGCAAAAATATATAAATAAATAAAAAAAGAAAAATATGAATTTGCATAAAAATCCGCTGTCTAGTCGTTGCAGAATTAAAGTTCATCAATTTACGTTGTCAACAGAGATTTTACCGGTGGTACTCTTGGACTTGCTTGGGTAGCTTCGGCATCCGGTGCATCCGGTGGTATCTGTGAAAAATATAAAACGTACACGGAAACAGTTGGAGGAATGTATCAATCCACCAAGAGATCTTTGAACACTGGGATTATTACCTTTGTTAATTACAACAGTAGAGTACCTCCGAAAGTATCGCAGTTGACACTAGCCCATGAAATAGGGCATAATTTTGGATCACCTGTAAGTATCGTCGAAACTGATGATTTACTTCTAAAATGTATATAACAGAGAAATTTGATTACATCTGATTTCACTTCGATTCTGTTCACAGCACGATTTTCCACCTGAATGTAGACCCGGTGGGCTATCTGGCAATTACATCATGTTCGCGTCAGCGACAAGTGGAGATCGGCCGAATAATAGCAAATTTTCCAAATGCAGTATTGGTAATATCAGTAACGTCTTGGACGCTATCGAAGACAATAAGAAAAGAAATTGTTTCACTGGTATGTGTAAAATATACGTACACGAGTGTCTTTTGTAATTGAAAAATAAAAATCTAATTTATGCAATCTGTTACTAACGCAGCTTCTGCTGGAGCGTTCTGCGGCAATAAGATCGTCGAAGCTGGAGAAGAATGTGATTGCGGATACGACGACGACGAGTGTGTAGATAAATGTTGTTATCCGAGCAAAGTGTCAGAATTGGACAAAATAAAGAATGAAACGGCGAAGGGTTGTAACAGAAAATTTGGAACACAATGCAGGTGCATATTTCGATAATGTACTCAGAGCTGCACTTTGTAAGTTCTGTACATGCAATATCTTACAAGTCGTTTATTTTTTACAGTCCTAGCCAAGGACCTTGTTGTTCGAGCGAATCATGCCAGTTTGTGTCTCTTTCGAAAAATATTCAATGTAAAGTTGAATCGGACTGTAGTTACAATTCGACTTGTAACGGACGATCTTCGGATTGTCCTCAGCCGTTACCAAGAGCTAATAAGACTAGGTGTAACGAAGGAACTCAGGTAGGAGGAAAAATTTGTTTTTTATTTTTCAATTTATATTTGAAATTCGTTGTAGCTTATTAGAATCTTCTAATCACTTTCACAGTTATGCATCAACGGTGAATGTACTGGATCAATTTGTCTCGAGTGGAATCTAACCGAGTGTTTTTTAACAAGTAACGTAATTCCAAACATTGATAAACGTAAATTGTGCGAATTAGCTTGCCAAAATGGAACCGATCCATCGACTTGCCGTAGTACCAGCGAATTTGCTCACGTTGTTGGTCTACCTGATGGTGGAATTAATCTCCGACCTGGATCACCCTGCGATAACTTTCAAGTAAGTAAGATACTATAAATTTAACATCTGTATACACACATATGTGAGAATAATAATTTAATGTATTCCATAGGGGTATTGTGATGTATTTTTAAAGTGTAGAGCAGTTGACGCAGAAGGGCCGTTAGCCAGACTGAAAAATCTTTTATTCAATAAGGAAACATTGCTCACGGTAGCACAATGGGTAACTGTAAGTGTAAATTCTACTCTTATAGTTTGATTTTTACATATTTAAAATGATTAATATCGATGTATAATTACATGTTTGCTATTTTAGGAGTTTTGGTGGGCAGTATTGTTAATGGGAATAGCTTTCATTATTTTTATGGGCTTGTTCATCAAATGCTGTGCTGTTCACACTCCTTCCAGTAATCCTAAGAAACCACCAGCGAGACGTATTAGTGATACTCTAAGAAGACCAATGAATACTCTAAGACGAATGGTATGTAAAATGAAGTAGAAGAAACGTAATTTTTTAAGCATGTCGATACACGATGTGTTTGTATTTTGCAGCGGCATCAACACGGTGGAGGAGGTGCTGGCCCTAGAAGTATACCTTCGAGGCAGAATCAAAGTGGCCATAGCGGTACTCGAGGACCCTCTCATGGTTATGGAGAGGGTAGAGGTGCTCAGTATTATCCAAAAGGTAAGTGTGCGTGATAAATATGTCGCTTTTTAATGCAGCTATCGTTGCTCGAGTTTGATCCTAATAGATGTTGCTCGTTAAAATACATACCGAATATGTTTGTATATTAACCGGCAAGATAATGGATTAAACTCAAGCTAAGAAGCTTGCTGTTGTGTATTTGTCCCCGTATTATCCGCAACTATACATCAATGTTTTTTCCTGTTTGCATCTCGCTCGCATTGATTGACGCGCATCACTACCTGATACTATCGTTCTATGACTTACAGAGGTGAGCTGGGGCCTATACTTGCTAGGAGCAAATTCACGAATAAAAAAAAGTATCAGACGTAATAGAAACATCATGTGCGGACAGGCTCTAGTAGACTTATTCGAAGACTTCTTCAACGCTTTCCAGTCAACGAGAGTCGTTTACAATTATTTCATTTCAAGTTCTTGTGTTTGCTCCTAATACTCTTTTTTCATAACCATTCAGCAAAGCCCACCGTCAAAACTTTCATTTGACTATTATTAATATCGAATTAGACGTGATTATTTGTTTCGCTTTCATATCGTCTGCACTTGTGACTCAACTGTCTGTTTTGGAAATATGGCTTTTTGAATGATTAGTGGAATTTGGTAGAAAATATATCTTGATGGTAATTGTAAAATAGAAGTGCATGAGATAGGTATGGTCAGTTTGATTTCATAATTTTTTTTTTTTTTTTTTTTTTTTGCTACTTTTCGTTTTTCCATTCGGCGTACCAACAGCGAGAGTGACTAACCTACTACTATCCTGGTACATTCGTTGTTTCGTTTGCTTCGATATTTCTTTTCATAGTTGAATACTTTTCTAAACTTTAAGCAGGCTATCGCTCGGTTCCCACAGCTAGTGCGCCACCCAGTAGCAGCGCAGCACCCAATTACGGTCGGTCCAACCACCCAGAACTGTACGCCGGCGCCTATTCGGGCTCCGGAGGGGGGAGGACCTCAGCCTACGAGATGAGGCATTACAACAAGGTGTGACGATCCTAGAGAACAACAACGGACGAGGAACAGTCTTGATGTTGCACCATAAATTGTTCTCTTGTTCAATGCCAAACTGTGAAACGTGCCGATCCATCCGATCCGATAAAATTTTTTTGTAATCGAGATTGATGAAGTATAATGGAGAAGTATAGCGTGATCGAGTGCATTTGAAAGTACCGACGATCACGCTAAAGCTACGTTATTATTTTGATTCAAGTATTTCACACAAGGGAACTGATTCAGAATTGTAAATTGGTGAAGTGTATTATATAATCAATGGTGATATATCGACTACTCATTTGATGTTAGGTTTTTATCGAGCTGATTGTATCAGCCCAGCAAGAGGACATCGACGTTCCGGAAACGAATGACAGCGTTGGACGTGATAGATCTTAAACTGACAAATCGTTAGAAGACTGTATTTATCGTATGACTTTGTGTAATTAATTTTTTTTGTACGTTCCCTCATGCAGATTCGCACACATTGCCATTAAGAATTTTTACATCCCAGAGAAAAATTGACGAAGGCTTTTAAAAAATTTTCTTTTTTATCCGTGAAATTGTTTTTTCTGTGAATACATATATATATCGATAAAAGTTACGAAGATTTATTTCTGTAAACAACGCTGGATTCGCATATCAAAGAAATATTGCGGTAAATATTGAACGCAATGTATTTTGGTCGTTCGATATCAGAACATTTCTGGCCACGGTTGCATAGTAATGTTTAATGCCTCGATTTCTTGGTGAAGTCAAATTGCGTTTAGATATTTCACTCCGGAAAGCGGAATGTTGTACGTGAGACTGTTGGTTAGAAGAAGAAGGGAAGTCCAATGGGAGAATGGAGACGACAATATATATTTGGAATAAGTGTTAGAACGATAAACGTAATCTTTGAAAAGCTCCCACTGAACATACCTTGTACCTTTTAACTTTCATACGCGATTATTATGTACATTATTTTACCATATAGCGTGATTTTGAAAAAAACACTTTTAATTTTGAAGTTCTTCCAAATGAATGTGTTTTATTCAAAGTTAAGATTTTAATTATTACTACTTTACGTCAATATAACTACATATAATTAATAAGTAATGCCAAAATGTTTCGTATCGACTTTTTTTAAACGCACGTATACATAAGTTATAGTCTATAAGTATTATTCGATTTAAATTGAAAAAAAAAAAAAGAAGCATTTGGATCATTGCTCCGCTTTCCGTAGCGAAAGAACGCGTATACCATTACCAAACTATTGCAGGTCATTTACTTGATCTCTACCATTGTAGTATAGTAATTAATGATACGTAATATTCTTATACTAATTTTTATTAGCCAATTGAAACGAGCAAAGTTATAAGAGACTATTACAACGGGATAAAAGTAACAAAAAAAAAGAACTTTTATAGCAATATTTCATTACCAATTATTCCGATTAAAATGATATTGAATATCGATTCTATTATAATTATGCTTATTGTACAAGTTTTTAGAACACGAACGGTATCGCTATAAAATTTATTCGTAAAAATAGTATTAAAAATTAACGTGGTGTGAACATCGTTTCTCGATACTATTAAAACGATACGACGACGATAACTTGGATTCGTTGAAAATTTTCTGCATGCAACAATAATTCATTGTTTTAACTACAGCATTGTTAGTTTTGTTCGAGAGAGAAAAAAAAAACCAAATATCAACTGCCATTCAAACAGCAACCGCAACATAGATAACAAATTTTATTCCAAAAACGAGTTGATCGGCGTTTAAATGTTGTTCATAGTTATCCTTACTTCCATTTTACTGCCATAAAAAAAAAAAAAAAACAGTTCAAACGACTGAGTAACAGAATTGAAGTGAAGAAGGGTGAATAGTGGCATTGTTTAGAAAAGAAAAGCCTAAGACGAGCGTGGAATGGGGCCAAGTTCTAGTATCTAGTTGACAAAGACGTCGCTTGCCCGTACAAGAGGAGCATAACGAGTAAAAAAAAAAAAAAAAGAAACCAACAACAAAAGTACGTTTTCATTCATCATTTGTCCCCGAGAAGTCTCTGCTACATATGCTTAAGCTTATTCGTTTTTGCGCCGTCTGGATTAAGATCGAGATATACTATTATTATTCTGTAACTGTGCATTCCGCTGCACTTTTTGTGATAAACCTGTATGTAGTCTATGTGACGCAAGAAAATTCTTCGAGAAGGAGAGAATTCGAATGTTAGCAGCAGAATCAGCATCTTTAAGGGTACCTATCTTAATCCAGACCTGCGTCACTGTGACGCAATGCACACTACTTTATCACTTGTACATAATGTTAGTGAGGAAGAAACAAAAAGAAATCGAAGATTATATTTTTTCTATCGATCCAAAAATGTGGTGACCTATCAACATCGTGCATCTGAGATTATTTTTTATTAACGTTAGATTTTTCATGTCCGTTCCGGTTTGATTTAGCCAAAAAAAGAACAAAAAGAAAGAAAAATAAGTTATCGTTTCATCATGAGTGCGTATATTCTACGTGTGAAGTGTTGCTTGGATATCACAAAATCACCAAGTTGCCTTTGTGTTTTACGTGCCGTAGTGTTCTGTTTCCTTCTTACTTCATACAGTCAACTTCAAGCTCTATATTTAAGTTGAAATTTTGATATAAGTTTTTTTAAGCATGATACTGACCAATCGCCTGAACATAGCTTCAGACCACCACTATACTCTCTCTTTTTCTCAAATGTCTAGAACGCGGCGAGTGTTTTAAGAATATTATAAATAAAAAGGAATCTGATTGTGAATCTTTTGTGTTATGTTAATGTGATTAAAGAAAAAAACAAAAACATTGTAAAGAAGTAAATAAAGCATACATTTTGCATTTATATTATTGTATTATTCGCTATATAACCAATAATAAAAAAGAAAACATTTATATCTGAATAATTTTGATTTATGTCTAAATAATTCGTGGATGATGTGAACATAACGGATCGTTAATAAATACCTTACATACCAACCGCATCTACCAATTGAATTTTTATCTGTACATACGGGAAGGTAAAATATTTAAGATAACGGAATGTAATACTTGTAAATATGTTTATTCTTATATCTTATTTGTTACCAATTACGACATATGGAAATAAAAAACACACTTTATCGATACTTTTATTTATTTTATAAACTATTGTAAAAGTTACAATTGTACATTAGAAAATGTAGCATATCGGATATCTAATTTATGATACGTGTGTACTTCGGTTCATAGATAGATAACATTATACAATTTGCTTGTAATACAAAATGTTTCTTACATACAGGTGATATATAATAGAATACTGAAAAAAAAAACGTATTATCGTTTGTTATCAAATATTCTAAGCCAGGTATCAAATGTAAAATAAAAGGTACTGCTTCTATACAAAAATGCATCGTTTTAAATAAATTAGCTTAAGTTTGTCTTTACGTTTATCTTTATGATTTTAAATACATTCCGAAACAGATTTACATCTCAAATTCCATTCGATTTAAAGCAGCATAGAAAAAATCTTACCAATTATATCTTTCGCAAATAGAACGTTTTGCCACTTTCATAGTTGTTTTGTTCAAATAATTCATAAAAATGTTTTTGATTTCGTGATTAATATAATGGACGTAAGAAAGTAGCCCTGAGTGGCAAGCTGAAAATATACATTTTTTCATTGACGAGGGTTGACGATTTCTTTAAGGTTGCGAATGTTCAAGCTTGTAAACATCGTGATATGCATTACGTATCAGTGCATATGGGAAACAGCTCTCTAACAAATCCATTGTTAAGAACGGCGATTCTTGGACTATTTGGTCCAATAAAAGATACACGGATTCCCTGTTCTTGATTGCATCTTTATCCGCTTCTTGACCTAGTCTGAGTAAGCTAGATGATGCTAAAGCAAGGAATTCTTTCATTCGGTCCTCTATATCATTCTGTCCACAGATCGTAAATAGCGCGCCGAAAATATTATTTATTGCGGTTGCCATACAGTGTATATTATTAGAATGTCCTTCTAAGGATGCCCGGTAAAAGGAATTCTCATTTCGAGCCAATTTTGGAATCGAGACAGCGACGAAAACCATCAACAAACAGACAAGTAAATGTTCGTCTTCATCCACCTCAGATTTTTGACTTCTCAATGCTGCTGTTAACGTTGGATCAACCTTGCAGGTTAAACCCGCAGCTGATGTCATTTCCGAAACAACACGCATTGGATCACCAGATGGTAAATGATGTCGAAAATCGAGAATTGAACTTAAAAGAAATGGTATACGTTCTTCCAAAACATCAACCAATGCAGACTGTGCTAATTGCCTGAAGCTTAAAATTACACCTATAATCGTAACTCGTTGTAGCACATTATCTACCTGTTGCAGCCTCTTAAATTGTTCCTTCATTACTTCTGGTTTATCAAAATTCGTTCTCAAAGAAATGAGAACATCCTTATTTGAGGTAACTAATGCCTTCAGTTGCTGCACTTGACTGGCTATGTGCCACATTAAATTCTCATTTAACATCTTCATACCATATGGTCCAATTAGTTCAGCTAATGCTCTCAATTCATTAATATCAGAAAATTCTTCTGCATTAAAGGGTATTGCTCCTTCTACAGATAAACTAACAAATGCTCTTTGATTGCTAGAATAACAAATATTTCCAACGCTAACGCGTCTCAGTAACACATCGGAATACCATTGTGTATATAGAGCAGCAATAGTCTTATCACCATGACTATCCAATTCTTGAGTTTGTTGAAGTAGTGCATTATTAAATACACGTGTAATATCTATATGCACATAATTTTCAACTGTCTGAAGAACATTCATGTAAGATCTAACACTAACAAAAAGTTCTGATGGTTTAGCTATTTCATGAGTATCTGAATTGTACATAACCATACCAACAAGTGCTCTGGCAAATCTTGATTCTAAATGCTGATGCAAATATTCTCTTGGTGCAAAAGTATATTCCCACACATTGATAGTAGGACAATAATTAATAGCATAACATAGCTCTGTTAATGCCATGTGAAGTTTATCCATTGTTGTAAGTTCTTCTCTGGTCTTTCTATAACTTTCTATACCAGGTTTATGAATTTCATACATATTCTTTTTATTTTTATCTTTCTTTTTTCGATTGACAACTTGAGAAATTAATAGTGCACAGTGTTTTGGCAATAATTTATCACTCATATTACATTGTTCATCACAAATAGTTGTGATAATATTTTTAGCTTCTTTGGCCATCTCATCCAAAAACATGTTGACAACAGATAGACTTCTTTCTCTAATATGATGACGTTCCTCTGGACAGAGCTCGTGTGTACAACTTTGGAAATGACTACATATTAAAGGAAATGCTACAATATATCTATTTTGAGCAGGAAATTCTAAGCACATGTGGAATTGATCTTCAAATACTTTGCTGTAGAAACAAAAGATAGATAAATCAGATGTTTCAACTAACATTTCATCCAAATTATCCACCATCTTAGTATGAAATACAACAGTATCCATGAAAGATGCTAATTCTCTATTATCAGCTAAATTCATATTACATTTTGCAATAGACATATATGCTTGCAATCTGAACCAGTCCAACCTAAATGCACGAAAATCAAACAGTTCATTATCTTCCACTTGTTTCACTGTTAGACTAGCTATCTTTGAACACATATCACTAAGAATTGCTCCTTCATCTTCTGGACAAACAGGGAGATTCTGTATCATTTGATCCAAAGCAGGTGCATCAAATCCTGATAAAAATTGCACATAATACCTCTGCAATACTTGGGAATATTTTTTTACTAGTGCTCTCAATTCTTCACAATGAAACAATAATTCTGGTAACTGCCTGTCCACTAAATCTTCCCCTTTTCCTTTACTTTTTCCTTGTGTTGGAGGATTAACGCCATGTCGCAAAAGCCATAAAACTTCATCCCTTGCATGAGAAAGTCCCATCAAAACTAAGAGAGCTTTTGGTCCCAAAAGACCAGGTTGGTCAGTTAATATTAAACCCAACTCTTTCAATGCTGTCCTCAAAAATTTTCTTCTTTCTCTGTGTCTGTAGCCTGCTTTTTGTACTGCTTGATTGTAACATTCTTTTACTTCAGATACCTTTTTACTTTGTCCTTTTATACTTTCAAAAAATGTCTGTATATATTGATGTATGTAAATTACTTCATCTCTAAATAAGGCCAGAACCCAGCCTGATTCTAAAGCTGTTGTCCAAAGTTTAATGGACTGTTCCTGGTTTAAGTGTAAATGACACAATGTAAAACCCAAGATAACCCATCTCTCTATTCTATCTAAACTTAAAGTTTCACAGGACATAGTATCTGTTGCTGCTGCTTTAAGTATTTGCCCAGGGCTTCCAACAAGACTAAGCTTTTGATCTGCTCTCCATGTATCTGCAGATAAGTTTCTTTCAGGATATATAGGCCATAATGAAATGAGGGCAGTTCTCAATAATGTACAGTGAGGAACAAATTCTTCTGAAAGCTTTTTTAATGGTGCATCGTAATCCATAATCATTTGACCCAAACGAGGAAAGCTAGGATCAGAGTGATTGTGAACCATTTCATGAGCTGCATTAAATAAACCTAGAACTGCTTTACGATCTTCTACTTGTGACAAAAGTATCATCAAACTGACATAAGTAACAACAAGATCCAAATAACCTTTTGTTAAATCAAAATTGATTGTAATGTCCATGTGTACCCCACAAGCATCCATTGTAGTTAAAAGCTCACAAACATTATCCTTAAAGTCAAGCAAATCAACAAAAGTATAATAGTATAGTGACAGAGATTTAATAATCTCATTGCGAAGATTTGTGATTGTTTGAAGACTCTTAATATCAATGTTAGGAAACTTTCTAACAATTGTCTTTATAGAAGATTCTAAACTTTTATCCGAAAGAAAACCAGGTTTTGATTTTGCATCACCACATGCTTTCTTTATATTATAAATACGGGTTAACATCCCAATACCTCTGTCATTTAAAATAGTTAGCTTCTCAGCCAACTTTTGTTGACTAGGTACAATAGGTCGTGCCATGATTGTATTATATTGTTTCTTACGTGGTGAACATAATTCATTCACTTCTTTGGCTTTAAATGACAGGAGACCCCGCCCCTAGGGTAATTTACCTTTACCGGATGCACCTAAAATAGAATCACCCTCTTTTCCTGCAAAAAAATTATACATATTCCTCATGTTCTTCTCGAAAAATAACCATACGTAATCTCTTAAAAGATGCATCCTACCTTTTCTATTATTACATGTTTAATACAAATCGATGACACGATAAAGCAAAATTTCCGTGTACGTCGCGTATTGCATGAAGTACTATCCTTTTAACTCGACCATGTTGCCAACAGTTACTGCACTGCTGGTAATTTAAACGAAACAAATGTTACTGCGTCGTTTAATATTTTGAAAAGATAAATAAACATTTTCAAAAAGAGTAAGATTCAAAAAAAGGTAAATTTCCTTATGTAGAGGTGCTAAAAACCATTTTTCAGACGCTCGAAATTTTCGGAATGGGTAAGTAGTGTAAGTCAATCACTTCTTAAATATGCCAGAATTCTCTAAGCTGGGTAAATTTCGAAATTCGACTGGACAACTTCGAAAATTGCAAGAAAATAGAGTCGAGAATGTACTAAAGCAGCATTAATTTATTAAAGTTTCTATTTTATTTTCAAATACTTTTATTGAAGAATGAGTAGTATTCCTTATTAAATAAACACTTATATTGTAGTTTATAATTATTGAAAGTATGAAATAAATTTGTTGCATAATTTAATTTAATAGAACAGCTTAATTTATCAAGGAAAGAAATACGGGTGCATGATAGCACTAGAGGAACGAGTTAGACAAGGAAAGAAATAGTGGTAAACGAGGATAGCTCTAAAGCAATGTGTTAGACAAGGAAAGAAATATGATTAGACAAGGACAGAAAATTTGAAATCTAAAACTAACGCCATCTAGCGTCAGGTGACTCAAACTACGATTTCTTAATAGGAACACAGGATATAAACAGAGGTATTAGACAAGGAAAGCACTAGTGTGCGACAAGGATAGAGATAAAACGTTTCCTATTGGCTGGCGGGCCGCCATGCT